AATTACTGTATTAAATTTATTATTATAAAAAAAATTATTTGTAGATGATAAGTGCGTCAGCTTCCCAGGTCCAGGTGAAAATCATATATATACCTTTAACCCAATGCGTGAATTCATACATAATTATGAGGATCATTTGCATGAAGCATTTGATAAATTTAAAAAAATTTATAATAAAAATTACAGAGATGATTTGGATCATATGTATCGCAAAGATTTATTTAGACAAAATATCAGGTATATTTATGCCAATGATATTGTGTTACTATTAGGTATACAACTTTGCTTCCGCCGTTTTCCTATAGATGGCTTTAGCGGTAAGTGGTGGTCGAAATAAATAGATCATAGACGTCATACAATAAACTTGGGCATCTGTCAACATAATCCCATAGAAACATTAGTCGATTTGTGTCTACATCATAAAGTTATTCTCGATTGAAAATGTCAGTTTACGAGCCAAATTCTCGTCATTTGCGGGAGGTTTTAATTTTTTGCTTCAATATGAAGAAATCTGCGGCTGAGGCTCATCGAATGCTCTCAAATACTTATGGTGAGGCCACTATTAGTGAAAGAACGTGTCGTGAGTGGTTTCAACGCTTCAAGAACAGTGATTTTGACGTCCAAGGTCATGCTCTGTATTTGGTGGGACCAGCTCGGCGTAGTGTATTATGAACTGTTAAAACCGACTGAAACAATCACAGGCGATCGGTATCGAACGCAATTGATGCGAGTTTGATGCGAGTTTGAGCCGAGCATTGAAAGACAAATGGTCGCAATATAACGAGAGACACGATAAAGTGATTTTGCAGCATGACAATGCTCGAACCCATGTTGCGAAAAGGTCAAGACATACTTGGGAACGTTGAAATGGGAAGTCCTACCCCACCCGCCGTATTCTCCAGATGTTGCTCCCTCTGACTATCACTTGTTTCGATCAATGGCACACGACCTGGCTGACCAGCACTTCCGATCTTATGAAGAAGTAAAAAATTGAATCGATTCGTGGATAGCCTCAAAAGATGACCAGTTTTTTCGACGCGTACGCTATCCGAAAGATGAGAGAAAGTAATGGCCAGCGATGGACAATACTTTGAATCATAAATGTATAACCAGTTTTTTACAATAAAGCCTCGAATTTCGGAAAAAAAACGGCGGAAGCAAAGTTGTACACCTAATATTATTCCAAAAATAATTGCTTCATAAATAATGTAAATAATTTTTAGATTTATTCATTCTATAAATCGTGCCAATTTGGGTTATCAGTTAGAGATAAATCATTTGGTGGATCGTAGCGATTTCGAATTAAAGGCTTTACGAGGCAAGCAATACACCCCAGGTTATAATGGTGGAGCATCATTCCCACATGATATTGAAAAGGAAATTATAGATATTCCCGATAGTATAGATTGGAGGCTATATGGCGCTGTAACGCCAGTCAAAGGTTTGTAATTTTAATATTATATTTAATATATATATTTTATGTATATACATATATATAAAGTATATACATTAAATATCATATTAAATATCATATTAATATATGTACTTTATTTAAATAGATCAGTCTGTTTGTGGTTCTTGTTGGAGTTTTGCTACTACTGGTGCGGTAGAAGGAGCATATTACATGAAGTATAATAAATTAGTACGTTTATCTCAACAGGTAAGCGTGAAGTATCAAAATTTATTTTTTTCCTATTCAATTACTAACTTTTGTTTGATAAAATAATGCCAAGTGAATTTTTTTATAATATTATATAATATAATATATATAGTATTTATACCGTAGATCAATAATATTGCAGTAATAATTGCAGGCTCTCATTGATTGTTCATGGGGATTTGGTAATAATGGATGCGATGGTGGAGAAGATTTTCGTTCATATCAGTGGATAATGAAACATGGTGGTTTACCTCTTGAAGAGGATTATGGTGGCTATTTAGGACAGGTAAAATATATATTTGATTACATTTATTAAAATTGAAAACGCTATCTGATTATTAATATAATTTGTAATGTGCGAACCAAAGGAATCTTTTTTTTTTTAGGATGGATATTGTCATATAAACAATGTAACACTAACAGCCAAGATCACAGGTTTTGTTAACGTCACTCCACGTAGCGTAGAAGCTTTGAAAATCGCTATTGCTAAACATGGTCCTATCTCTATTGCTATCGATGCTTCTCACAAGACATTCTCTTTTTATTCTCACGGAGTGTATTATGACTCAGCTTGTGGTAAGATTTATAAACTTTTATTTATTATTGAAAAAATTTACCAATAAGTTATTCAAATAATTATATTTTCATGTATAGGTAACACCGAAGATAAATTAGATCATGCTGTTTTGGCTGTTGGATATGGTACTATGAATGGAAAAGGTTATTGGCTGATAAAGAATTCTTGGTCTAATTACTGGGGTAATGACGGATATATTCTAATGACGCAAAAGGATGACAATTGCGGAGTTCTTTTTGCTCCCACATATGTTACTATGTAATTGTAGTTTTATCTCTAAGAATTGGTCATATCATTGAAGCTTTCTGGTATTTCTAATTAATAAATATATATTCAAATACATTTTTAAAAATTAAGAGGCTAAAATATATTTCATTATTTAGTTAGTTATATTTCATAATGAACAAAGTATAATAAATTGTTGAAAATTGTATTTAGTGTAGGAAAATGTGATTATACTATATAATGAAAAAAATAAAACATTTCGTAATTATAAAAAGTGTCTATTAAACATTTTTTTATTAATATCAAGAATGATTATTTAGAAAATAAAATATTATACATTGAACAAAATATTATGCCAATTTGAAATATATATTAACAGCAGAAATAAGCAGAATTCTTTATGAAATTTAGGCATATATAGGTAAGTAAAACAGAATCTTAGAATATTAATTTATTTTCGGAATAGTTGATATTAAATTAGTACCACATATAATTTAACATAGACTTGCATTTTCTTTTTTTATCAAAGGATAAAGTTACTTTCACTTTCGCAATCTTTTTTTTAGACACGAACAGTCATTACATATTATATTTTTAATTTTATTTTTATTAATAAGTTTTATTAATAATACGATATATTCAAAAAATTTTTATAAACTGTTTTTACACATAACGATGTCAACGTAATTAGCAATTATACTAATTCGTTCTTTCTTTTTTATTATATTAATGCGTTTTCGTCAAATTTTTGTCAAATAGCCTTGTACAATTCCAAAATATGATTATAACTATATATTTTTACAAATATATAAATACTTTTTCTAATGCATTTATGTTCAGTAAGATTATTATATAATGTTTGTATATAATGTGTAATTGATATGGATATTTTCGAAATATACATAATGTCATTTATATTTGCGATAAAGGAATGTAAAAAAATACATGATATGACAAACAGGTATAAAGCGAGCATAATTAATGGAAGTTAATGAATAGTAAACTAATTTTTTGCAATAAATTTGCACGTGAAATTATATTAAGTAAATAATAACTATAATAGAGTTACAATTTGTGAAAAATGGTGTAAATTCGTACAGGCTGTGTAAACTATATTAATGAAAAAAATCTCTTCTATTAGAATCTATTAGTGTATCTCTGACGGAAAAATTTTTACTGACTGAAAAACTATATATTAAGACAGAATTATAGAAATTTTTAATTTTTTATAGATATTCATAGTGGGAACATAGAGTAATGTCTTGAAAAAACCAAGAAATCCTCCGTCTTCAAACAACACCACTTTATGTTCTATTACGAATATCTATGAAAAACTAAGAATTTCTGAAACAAACAAACCTCATTCTATATCTTACTACAAATATTTACGAAAAATTAAGAATTTCTAAGATCTTGTCTTAATCTATGTAGTTTTTCTGTAAGAATTTTTTGTAAGAATTTTTTTTCGCCAGGGATATTAAATCCTTTAATTTTGTTATTATCGAAAGAAAAAAGATGCAAATGTATTTAAGTACATGAAACGTATATTATTATATATATTTTTCACAGATTCCATTTTTCAGTTTATATAGTACATGTGACTAAATGCCAACACTAGAAAATTGTCCGAAAGAATTTTATTATACACAAATCTTTGTTTCTCCGAATTTTGTTATTTCTAAAATGTTACTTTCATTCTATATCACTTGCGGACAAGATGTCCGACCGAATTACTCGCGAATTAATTTAATATCGGCGAGTATAATTATAATAGTTGCGAAAGTGTCAACTTTCCTTCTTTCTGTATATTACATATGATAAAAATTATAGGAATGAAAAGAACTGCTCCAGAAAAAGAAAGTGAAGGCGCGCGCGCGTGTGTGTTTTAAGCACAGGGAATGGAAGGAAGGTAGGTAATACTTATCTATAACACCCGTTACTTTCCTAATAATTATTGTTATAATAACGATTTGGTAATTTTTTTATAATAATTGTAATAACAGGATTGGAAAAGTCACTCGTTATTGAAAAAATTAACTAGCATTCATAACTGATCGTTATACTTTTTAGTCATTACTTTTAAAGATTAATGTTACATCGTTACTCGTTACAAATTACTTTTTTTAATACCTGGAAAAAAATGTTTCATATATAATTATATATAATTACATAAAAAATTTTGACATATTTTATATACAATTATATATAAAATATGTCCATATATAACATTTTTTCTGAATAAGTAAACGCGTGATGATGCAAGTTACTTTTCAAAGTGGCTTTCCCAATTTTAGCACATTTTTTTCTAGTATTTATTTAATTATCATTATAGTCATAAAAAATTGCAACGTCATTATCAAATTGTTATTATAAAAAAGGATGGAAAAAGTAACGGAATAGTAACTCTTCCATTCCCTGGTTAAGCATAGCTTTTTCGCTAGCTTTTCTTGTAAATCGCACAGAAATACACGTCATGCAATTTTTCATATGACCGAAATGTTTCCTGATTGAGAGACTGATTTTCATATATACTTTTGATTAAAGAAATCCCATTTCTAAGGCAGTATAGAGGGCTTGAGTGTCTGAGTGACTATTTATCCTCCAAAAGGGAAAGTTGTGTGCCCGCGCTGCTGTTTCCTCATCAGAATCATCTCCTATTACGACATACGTACATCTACGGCCAAATCGGGCAACCACTCTACCGAAACAACTCTCCTTTCCTAAAACAAAAACATAATTTATGCTATGGAAAAAATAATAGAAGAATGGACAAAATCTCGCTTTGTGATTAAATGATATACAGGAAATGTGTTAAATTTTTTGGTACATCGCTTGTGGGCAGATAGACCAATTACTCGCTTATCTAACAATCTTTAAAAATTAATACCTAATTAACTATTGTAAAAATTACAAAACGGTAGAGGATTTTTCGATTCACTTTAGCCTACTCTACCTGTTCACAAGCGATGTATCAAACAGTTTGAGACATTCTGTATAATTATATTTTTGGATAGTTATATTTAATTATTTCTTTATATTTTTGATAATTACCGATTTTGGAAGCCGAGTATATATTCTCTATAGGAAATATTCCACCGATGCCAAATAGCAGAACTTTGGAGAGTGCGGGTACCAGCTGCGTAGTCGTTACTAGGATATTGATGCAATGGCTTCTCTTGTTGATAATGTTCAGACACTTTACTGCCGACGTCAACCAATTATCGGTCAACATTTCGATTTCGGAACGCAGTTGTAGCCACTGTTCGCGCTTGGCTGTCCCCAAGAGGCCTCCTACATTATTCCGATAATTACAATAGATTTCCTTGATTTTACGATAGCGGAACGCTAGCTTTCTCATCCAATCGACGCCTCCTCGCACACCGGATGCCAGGCATATACCATTGTTTGCAGACGCGCACTGGAAACCATCAGTCGCGAAATTGTAGGATGACAGATCCTGTCCGTTGTCATCTGACGAAACGTCATCTATATGCACTTGATCACAGTCCTGTGAAAGAAAAAATAATACGCTGAACAAATTTAAATTTATATATGAAAATTTATATATGAAAATACGAATCAGTATACATACACGTAACTATACAAAGCATATGGTTCAAATATGGCTCATTTAGACTTTGATATTTTTTTTATTTTCGAACTAAAGTATTTAAAAATTCATTGTGTCTCTGAACATTGTATCTCTAGCTGAAATCTAATCGTTATAAAATAGTCACATAAGTTTGCAGATGTTAGTTCTTAAAAAACACATGGTCAGCTTATGGAAGTTTTCCTTCTCGGAAAAGTTTCCATCTAGGAAATGAATCATATCAAAATTTAAATCAAATACTTTAAGTATTATTTGCAAATTTATAAATGATAAGTAAATTTATAAATGATAACATTCTGTATTGTTTTCTAGAAAGTATTTTTTAGAAAATTTTTTTTAAGAAACAAAATAAATAATTATATATTCATTAAGATTAAATGTTTAAGATTAAATTAAGATTAAAATTATTATATAAAATGTTAGTTAAGTATTTGTACGTGGGATCATTATAACATCTTTTTATATCTTTGAATCTATAAAAATGATTTAAATATTTTATTTCTGCGGTAATCATCCCGTTTAAAATTTATACATGCTAGGAAATTTTTATCACCTCGACATCATTGAAGAAAAAGTGTGTATCCGCCAAATTGAATATCATCTCCTCCATCCTGAATCCCACTTGAGCTAGAAGACTTGCATCTTTACGATATTTAGTGGCGAATTGTCCGGTTAGTAGGGAATGAAACACGACTATGGTTTCGTCGAGATCCCAAATAAATATACGCTCGGGGCCGGCTTCCGTCGTATCTGCGGAACCGATACTGTTTCCGCTTCCGCTCTGTCTCCTTCCGCGCCTGCATGGCTTCGTCGTTGCTACTATAAAAGTCGGCATATAGATTTTTTTACAAATATTTCTTCTTCATTATATACATATATATTTTTTCTTTGAAATATTCTTTCAAAAATTATATGTATATTATCCCTTTGATTGATTGTGTGTGTGTGTGTGTGTGTGTGTGTGTGTGTGTGCGCGTGTGTGTGTGTGTTGT